AAACTATACATTTTTGGAAAGCTTATGATGCCAGGAAGACAAAATCTGGGAGTTCCAAGCAAAATGTTTGCAATTTATTGATTTAGGGCCAGATGAAATTCGTCAAAATTGTCAAATAAATGCTATTTGTGTACTAACAATTCTGAAGTTGACATAAAATTAAATAATTGGTAAAACACCTCATGCCTTCATCCTTGGCAATGAACAGTTTATTGGACAGATTTTGATGTAAATAAAAATGCTCAAAACACAAATGTCATGGGTGAATAAAGAATTGTGGAAATCCATTAACGGTAAAAAAGAATTATCTCCCTTTCTGTCAAATGCCTGTAATTGATAGACTATCAGGTCTTGTATGAATCATAAGACCAGGTGTGGGCAAACAAGCCCAATAATTATTTTGTGTGTTGGATCTCAAGGGCCTGTTAGGGTTGGTTGTTGGATGTTTGCTCAGAAATTATCGCTTGTATGGAACATGCTAGAGTCGATTTGTAGCATATTCTAGCCAGGGGATATGTTTGACAGTAGTTGAGTGATATGCTTTTGAAATAATGGAGATCAGTAGCACTTTATAAGCATTGAACCACATGATTTTTTTCCACTAAGATAAACATTCTAAACCCACATACATGTTCCCTTTCAATTAAACACTACAGTATTTTTACAACTGTACATGTAGCTGTGAACTACTATTTCGGATATGATTAATGGTCAAATTACAAACATACATGTAGATATAAGTTAAAAAAAATAATTGTGTATCTGGGCTGGAATGAAGGGAAAGGTTAGAAAACAGGATGAACAGTTGTGAAATTATTTATTAAAGTGAAACAATCATTGAAAATCAAAATTAAACAGTTACTCTGCACATCAAATGTCATCAAAGTTAATCTCCATTATCATCATCACTGTCACTAAATGTATTAACATCAAATTCGGTCTCTTTAACAGTTTTTTTTTCATTTTCACATTGACTACACATGCACAGGTCTGTACAAGAAAGGGGGGTTGGGATGGCCTAGAGTGCCGCGCTTCGACCTCTAGCTGGTCGGTCACCTCTGGCTTGTGGCTGTGGCTTTGATCCCAGGTGTGAGCGTATGTGGCATGGAGATAGAGGCGTCTTCTCAACCTCGTGGGTTTCCTCCGGGCACTCCGGTTTCCTCTCACTGCTAAAGACCCATACGCGCAAGCGAATTATTGAAATAAAATTGAAACCGTATGTTAGTCCCAAAATGACCTAGTTTGTGTTGAGTGGACGTTAAACCCCATTTCTCTCTCTCTCTCTCTGTACAAGACAACTTTGCTGGCCATTTATGATTCTTTCTCTTATGACATCTTCACAGAATATATTGTATGTGGTTTAATATTCGACGGAGGGCTAGTCATCTTTGCTGAAAAATATAAATAAACATATACATGTACACAATTAAAACAAAATTCTGGAGCTTGGTTTACTCTCATTAATTTCGTACAACAGAGGAAAAAGACACTTACACAGGGGTTAACATCTTATTATCATGCAGAAACCAGCTAATGAAGACAGGAAGGCATTAGCAGTACAAGGAGAGATAGAGAGGAGAATTGCGGTTTAACGTCCACTGGACAAAAACATAGTAATTTCAGGACTCACCCAGTTTTATTTGAATAATACCAGTGGCAAGAAGGCGGAGAATACAAATAAAAAAAACATCACAAATATTTACCTTTCTGATAACTGTCTAAGAAATTCAGTACATGTATATTGCCTATAACATTTTTGGTGATATCTGACCTCAATGGCCACACAATCTTGCCCTCTGATATGCCTTAAAATATCTTCATCCTCTTTCAATTCAGCAGCTTTCAACAGTTGGCCTACAAACAAATTTGCAAACAAATTATACACCATATAGCGTTGAATGTTGTTTGTGCTCAAGGGTGGGGGAGGGAATGTCACTTTGAGGCCTACATGTACATGTACCTGGCTGGTCAACTCTGGCATGCGGTTTAGTTCAGATCCTTTGTGTGAGCGGAAATGGTCTAGAGACAGATCGTCTTAGCAAGGCACCTACAAGTGGGCCAAGAAAATAAAAAACAAGTTAACTTCTCTATGTTTCATCCCTTGTGCAAGCAAATGTGCAACACTTTAACCAATGACTGTGCCAAATCAACAAATGGGGTAAAGGGCTTTACTGGCTAGCTTCATAACAATTTTACAGTGATTGCAGTAGCAGTTCTGTTTCCATTTACAAAAACAACAACACAATAATTAAAAACTGTAGGATGAATATATTTAATATTTATTAGTAATAATTATAAATTTAGTAAGTAACATAATATTAACATTAGGCCTACCTGAGCCTGTTTGGGTCTGAGTCTGTGTTAATACATCCTTCTTCCTATTTTCTCCAACAGTGACAAATCTGTCACGTTTTTTACATATAATACACACAACAGGCAGCACCGATTTACTCTTTCTTTTTGCTTCAGGAGCGTAATTTGTTTGGAGAGCTAGGTCCCAGATCGTCTACACTCCCGCTATTCTCTGGTTGGGTTGTAGCCGGGGATTTTAATTTTTCTTTATCTATACGATTACGGGCAGACCCAATTCGGAATTTGTGTGTAAAAGGCCTGTAGCATGTTGGGTGAAATCCAGTATCTTTTGGCGCGTCGATAAATTCCTTGTTTGATTATATCACCCGAAGTCGCCTGTTCAGCTATCCATTTCGCTCGCCCATCAAGTTTTAGCCATTCATGGGCACATTCACGGAATTTATCCCAGCGAGATTTTGTAAATAATTGTTCTCGTTCCTTTCTAAATCCTTGGTAATGAATAATACAGCGTAAATTTGATGAAATATCAGTCGATTCACGTTCTTTCATGGGCGCAGCCATTACACATGTGTGTTGTTGTTTACAACTTTCAAGGTCGGGTCAGCAGTTCACAATACGAGCTCCTGATTGGCCCATGGTGACCAATCACCAGTTATTTCCCTACGCTTTATAACAGCGCGAGTCAAATAAATCCCGTACGAATAAATTTATATCACCCTTAATGGATTTGAAATAAAGAATTATAAAATGTATTTATAAATATACTATGCTTTATTTGAACCTTATGCCTACTACTATTCTTACCTGACTCTATCCAATTTATTTTAATTATATCTTTCATTCTATTTAAGTTAATTTTTTTTTGCCACCATTCCCCCCCCCTCCACTGTTCCTTATCTCAGACGAAATAATCCCAGATTAGCTGTAAGACCAGATACTCTTTTTTTCTTTCTTTCTTTTCAGGTGCTGGATTCTTCCTTCAGAGAACCAACAAACAAAAGGAATGAACACAAAAAATGAAGATGAAACAGAACCACCATACCGGACAACAAAAACCAAATGGAAGGAAGAATGGATCAGGCCTATCACTCACCGACAAGCCCCAAGGAAGAGTAGCACCGCCCTGCCATTCTACCGGACAGAACGACCAGACCGACAAAATGACCAAAATATATATATATGTACATATCATGTCTCTGTATTTAAATGTTCCTGTCTGTTCGTAATTGTCCATTTTGTCTATATGTTCGTCCATGTTTATGTATGTCTTGCACTGTGCTCGTCTGTCTATGTCTGTGATCGTCTCAAATAGCACTTTTTTACTTTGCACCAGTTAGTCAATGTTTCTGTACATATATATATTCAATTATCTATTTTCCATTAATCACTTTGTAAATATTCTCACCATACACAAATAACATGTTATTGTCTGCGATATCACCTCGGTGGAAGTGGACGTTAAATAAAGCTATTTCACACACAAATTGCGCGGCCGAAGCTTGGAACACTAGTAAATTTTCTTTAAAACATCATCATCTACTTTATAATGGTCGCAGATTATTTTATGGTGGACTGTGTAGCGGAGTTGCACGGTAGAAATTTTGGCTGCCGGCCTAGTGGCATTTAGGTCACTAATATATTGCTGTTTTATTGGCAAGGGATGTTTTACGTGCATTACAATTTATAGAAGGGTCCTTGGTAGATCGGACCATACTAGACTTTTTTGTCAGGGTTTGCTCTGTACCATTGATAAGGGGAAATGAGTTGGGAAATGCTGATGAACTCTGTTGACAATGCTGGGATTGAATATGTGATATACAGGGTAGCTAGCCTTTGACAGTATAATAAAATGTAACGTATTGTGTGATATAATATTATTTATAACAAGATTGCAATACAATCAGAAAAGAGGAAATTGTTTTATCACTAACTGTGATTCATATAATAAATATAAAATACATATAAACAATAAATATATAACATTTAAGGACATATATAAAAATAAGGTATCTAATTGTCATTTACTGTTATTCATAAAATAAATATATGTACACAAAAAAAACCTGTAAATACATATACAGTATATAACAATTATAAAAACAGGTTGCCTAGCAGGCAATAAAACATTACATTTATTGGGCAATTAATATCTTTATATCATATAAAGATGTGTAAAGAAAAAAAATGAATACTGTATTGTATAACAGAATTTCTATGATGTAGCGAAGGGCACACAAAGCCCAAATAATTATTTCAATGTTAATGTATAATGCACATTAATGCAGAAATCATTAAAATAAAATAAGAAGGGGAAATCAGAAAGAATGATGTCTTACAGCAATTTACATGTATACAGTTGCTATCATGTGAGATATGTTGATACATGTATGCATATATCTTGCAAGAGAGAACAAGGGATATGGTTTTATAAGTAATAATGATAGGTTGCCAGGCAATGAAACATAGTCACACAATTAATGTCGTTTGGACAGTCACGGGTTGTCACATATTTTTTCTTTTGTCAGTAAGGAGAACGTTTACAACACATGTAATTATCCGAAATGGTTGGATTTTTTGGTTTTTTGTCTCATGATTTTCATCCATAAGATAATGCAAAGTGATCAAGGGATATAACTCTGGCAGTAATTATTGGATATTGCTGAAAATTGATAATGAAATAAGCTTCTAGTGCATTCACAAGTTTTTCAAAGTGATCAAGGGTCATAACTCTGGCAGTAATTATTGGATATCGTTGAAAAACAATAGGCTTTTTTTTATGATTTAAAAAACAATCACAAGAAACTGTGGATAGCGTCCACAAGATTTTTTGGTAGTTATTATCGGAAATCGCTGAAAAACAATAGGCTTCTTTGTCTTAAAGTGATCAACGGTTATTATTCTGGCAGTAATTATCGGATATTGTGAAAATTAATAGGTTTCTTTGTTTCATGACCTTAAAAAGTGTGTATAAATTTCAAGTCAATCAGATATTAACTTTAGCCTCTAGAGTGTTACAAGAAACTGGGCGACAACCAATGGATGGATGGGCAGACAGACATACAGGGTGATGACAATATACATCCACATTTCCATGTGGGCGAATAGAAAATAGTTGTTGAGATTCATATGGCATTATTGAAACAGTAAACTAAAGAACATATAAGTTTGTTGTCACTGACAGAATATGTTGACAATGCTGTGCAAAGTTAAGTGACATAACTATACTGGTGACAGTGTTGATTCCAGAAAGTGCAGAAATGTTCATAATTGTTAAAATATATAAACAAAATTGAATAATGTTCATTTGTTTGAGAAATGTAACAACACATACAAATTGAGACAGATTAAACGATAAATGATCACAATACATGTATTCATGTGAGGGTATATAAAAGGCAAGATGTGCGATATGATATTATTTATAACAAGATTGCTGCCGTATACAAGATCAGAGAAGGGGAAACTGATTATTACTGATTGTGATATACAGAATAAATATAAAGTACATAAAAAATAAATATATAATATTCAAGAACATTTAAGAAAATAAAGTAGGTTGCCTACCAGGCAATAAAACATGTGTTGGTGTTAAATGTATCAAAGAAAACAAATTCCAACATGTAAAGAATGAGGGCAGAATTTATTTTTTCCCTGTTTTTTCTTTTGCCATCTTTTTTCTGAAAGTAAATGATATATCATTATAAGGAACATACCAACAGTGAGGCTGATGGCTCCTGTTGAAATCCCAAAATAGATGACACATTAAAAAGTATGGAGCAATCCAACTATACACTAATTTTTATCACTCTCAATCAAATAGGATCAGGATTATTTTGTCCCAAACAAATTCCAATGAAATTGATAACTTCAAAAGAACCAGAAGCTAAAAATATGCAATTTTCACACAATCAGGGGCCATAATTCCAGGCAGTTACTATTGGATATAGGGAAATATTGAAAGGAGCCTAGATCTTTTGGTTATAAGGTGCATTTCAAGTTCCATTAAAATTGTGATCACTGCAGGGTTCATAACCCTGATATGCCATATTTTTTTTATTTTTGTGTGCCAGCGGTAGCCTTTTTGTTTGTGGATGGTCGGACACATAGAGGCGAAGATAATATACCTCTACATGAAAATGTGAGCGTATAAAAATGATTTTTTGTATTATCAGGAATCATATTTCCAGAGAGTTATGGTTTGAAATGTGCAGATATCAAAAGGGACTGAAGGATGGAATATAAAGGTATGTTTTAAGTTTCATCCAAATTTGATAAAAATTGGTTTGTGGAGGATTTATATCTTTTGTATATCAAATTTGCATACAAAAAGTAAAGTGGCCATTTTTTTGGGCAGTTTCATTTCAATTTTCCTGAATTTCAAATTCAACTTTCATTATGGTGGTATATCTAAATGATTTCTATACGCCCACATTTTCATGTGGATGTATTATGCTATTGCCCCTGTTGGTCTGTTTGTTCACAATTGTTGTGGACATTCTACAGGTCACAATTATTATGTGATTTGATGTAAGTGGAAATATGTGTATTTCCAAAAGGTCTTGACTGCTTTTGATATGGCATGTATTGAACAGAACTGTATGGGTTGTGGATCCTGTGTGTGTGAAAAATTGCGTTTTTAACTAGTGTATCTTATATAGAGGTTATAATTTTCAACTCATTTTGATAAAACTTGAGATCCATGTTTAAACAGAAGATCTTGGTTCTTTTTTGATATTGAATTATGGCCCCTGATTGTATGAAAAACTACATTTTTACCTTGTGGTTGCTCAGGAGGTCACTATAATTAACTGATTTAAAAAAATCGATTGATTATACATGTATCAGTGTTACACCATAATGAAGGTTGTGTTCAAGTTCAAATTGTTGGGACATAATGGCCGTCACTTGTATGCGAATAGTGTAAAATATGGTATATAAAGGTTGATGACTTTGTAGAGGTGACAATTATAATCTGATTTTGATGAAAGTTGATATGTATGTTTTTAATCCAATGGTCTTGGTTGTTTTTTATATTTGCGCATATCGGACGTAGAGTTTCAACACTAGATAGATTGGAGTAGGAAAGTAGAATGTTAAGTATGATTTCCTTTCATTTGTCTGTACTTACATTTCTCTAATGGAATTTCCAATTACTTTGCACTCCACTGTAATACCATCTACAGAATATTTTGTCATCACTGTTTTCAATAGGTCAGCTTCTATCGTATAGCTGATATCATTGATTAGAACTTTGGGAACCTCCCTGTAAAAAAAGATAGTTTGCCAGGCAATGAAACAAACGCCCACAGGTAAGTTCTTTGGGCAGTCATCAAGAATGGTCAGATATTTTTGTCCTTGTAGGTAATGAAGTATTTTTAATATACTGGAATCTGATAAAAGTAATAACAGATTAACTAATTAATAGTTAATAATTAAAATTTGTTTGGCTTCTTGTTCTGCAAGATGCATATAATAATGTAATGTGAATGTATACAAATTGATTTACATTCAATCTTTTTCGTATGTACTCTAATTTCAAATCAGTTATGTTTGGCGAAATACACCAGACGTTTCAATTGAGTGTCTATTTTGAGAGTCTGGTTATTCCAGTTTACATACGCCATTTGATTTGTGTGCAATTGTCTAGCCTCGTTCCCTGAGTCTCTTGCTAGAACTGGAGCTGAAAGGCATTATGGTACACGATTTGTGTACCAATGGTAAAATGTTTATTTTGTCTTAAATATTGGATATGAAAAGCCCATTCTTTTCCGGTAAAATGACAACATCAGTGTTGATTTAAATTGACAAAACTATTGTGTTTTGAATGCCGAAGACATTGGACGATATTGAGTTAGACACTTAGCTACTTTAAAGGACAATATTAGTGTGTCATTGTCATGTATGTGTGACAAGATTGGTTAAACACACCCCAAATATAATTTAACACAGAGAACATTGCTACGATAGATTCGTAATAAAGGTTTCATTAATTGGAAGTGATGAACGCAAAAGGAAATACAAGTCATATTTATATAAATGAATGAATGAAGAGCGATAAGATACAGTTGAATGTCTGCTCATTTATAATTCCTTTGAAGGCCAAAAGTTGTTATATCAGGCCTCGAAATGTTTGAAAAAAGCTACCTGTCGCAAGCGACAGGTAGCTTTTCATCATACCTGTCGCTTCAGTAAATTACCTGTCACTCTCAATTGTCAAACCCAAAGACTAAGTAATAGTATAGTATCACACATATCCATACATGTAGGTACACACATGTTTGTTTAGGTATTGACGCACATTGCTTCATATAAATATCGTAATATGAAACCTTTTTATTTCTTTGACATCGGAATGCCCAAAAGTTCTTGAAAGTCGGCGAATGTGCTTTGGCTCAGCGGCTCGAAGATTTGTACAACTACAATTCTATCATCCGTAGCCACGTGAATTCCGCAAATTATCATGGTATCACACCTCCGTGCTAAATCGAATAGTTCGACGTTGAGATGTAGAATTCAAATTTTAAAATATCCGTATTGAATTGAATATCAAAACACAAATCAAACCTGTGCATGGCACAGTAAGAAATATGCCGCGTGCGAAAGACAGGTAGCGTCACCTGGAATTCCCGTCTCACATACAATGTATCGGGACTATATTTACGCTACAAATTATATTAATATCCGAGATATTTTTCCGACCTGATTATTTGATTTTGTCAAATTGTCTTGTAAATTATTTAAATGATTAGATACACGAACTTACGAAGCATCGATCTATTGAGCCGTGTGTATTTCCCTTCCACTCCAGCCACTTTCCAATATTTACTGTGGTGTCGTTACGGTAGAATTATTTCAGGTGACGTTTTAATTTACTTAGATATAATACTCCATAATGCTATAAACTAGTGCCAAGTAGATGAAAACAAGCGTAGATGGTGTGAAATTCATTGTTATAAAATTGTCTACTTCCAAACTGAGTACCTGTAGCCTGCGACAGAGCGAAATGTAAACAATGCAAATGGCGGCTTTTCGCGGTATTTCCGTGCTCAATTCTTGCATTTCCCTTCCACTCCAGCCACTTTCCAATATTTACTGTGGTGTCGTTACGGTAGAATTATTTCAGGTGACGTTTTAATTTACTTAGATATAATACTCCATAATGCTATAAACTAGTGCCAAGTAGATGAAAACAAGCGTAGATGGTGTGAAATTCATTGTTATAAAATTGTCTACTTCCAAACCGAGTACCTGTAGCCTGCGACAGAGCGAAATGTAAACAATGCAAATGGCGGCTTTTCGCGGTATTTCCGTGCTCAATTCTTGCATTTAGAAACGACTCTACGAATAAATAAATACGGCCTACATGTACATGACGTGGACTTGAGTATTGTGGTCGTGAGTAATGTGGCCAATTTACTGAACATCAAGTAAAATTTAGTCCACCTGTCGCAAGCGACAGGTAGTTTTATTTGCTACCTGTCGGACGAAAAAATCGCCTGTCGGCGACAAGTAGACGGGTGAACATTTTGAGCCATGTTATATGGTACTGCAAGAGGATATCTGACAATTCAATAGTAAATGAGTGTCAACAGATAAGAGATCATGACAAAAAAGGGAATTGGTCTATACATTCCCTTGTTTTTATCCCTTCTATACCTTTTAAAACATGGTAATCCTCAGGCTTTTTCTGCTTTTCCTTCATGTTCTCTAATCTAGTGGTTGTCAATTCTTTTACAAATTGTCAGATATCCTTACAGTGTTACACAACTTTTTGTCTTGAAGAAAATTATTAGCAAGCAGAAAATTGCTCATGTATTTGTTATCACTTGTCATTCAGTCAGTTATTTAGAGCGATAACTTGTGGTTTCCTCTGTGTTTGTCACTTTTGAGTGATGAAACTGTTGTTACTTATCTATTGTAGCAATGATCTGTGTTAAAATTATATTTGGAAAGTGCTTACAGGTTTATTACATGTGCAATAATATAATGACTGACACCAATATTGTCTTTAAAGTGAATTTGGCTTGTTTGGCATTCCTAACATTATACAAATAATCAGAGACATCATTTGGCAGTAATTATCAGAAATTGTTCAAAAACAAAAGGTTGTTTGTCTTGGGATTCTTAAGTCAAATTAAAATGAATTATAAACGTGGGTCTCTAGAGCGTCCACAAGATTTTTCAAAGTGATTAAGTGACATAATTTTGTTTGTAATAATTTTTAATCTCATGACCATAACCAATGTATATTTAATGCCAATCGGATGCCAATTTAAATCTGTTGAGCTTCCACAAAATATTTCACTATGATCAAGCGTCTGGAATCAGAATGAAGGAATGAATAGCAGTTTACGTTTTCCAATTAATGCCCTGAATCTCACCACTAATTCTGGTTTCTTCAGTTGAATCCTATAATGAGATAATACACAATGTGGTCTGTGTTGGTTAACTTGAATTAAAGTTAATAGTTACAAAGTATAAATCAATCAAAACGGTTATCTCTGCTTACAATAGACAGAATATGCTGATGTTCACTTATTATGGCATTCATCTAATAAAGGACTCACTCCATGTTGATAATGCGAGCTCAATTAGAAGGAAAGTTATTCGGTGATGAAAAAAGGGTGATGGACAGAAGGGAGATACATGCTGGAATCAGAATTAATAGATGACACTTTAATTACACACTTATCTTTATCAAAAGTATCTAGCCCTTATATTTCAATTTGAAGTAGAGTTATTGTGTTCTAAAGTATTGATCAATCAGATTGAAGTCTTTGTATGGTGGCTAAGCAGAAAATGCTTAGACAATTGTTGATGGGGGCAGGGACGAGGCAATATATGTCCACATGTCAGATAATGGTGATAACAGTACTTATATGTGAAGATTTTAAAAGGCAGATATGGTGTTTTTTGGGGGATGATAGGAGCAATATTGTAGTACTTTAAGGATTATTTTAAGGAATATAGATTCTTTTAATTTGTGTAGATTGTTGTGGCTAAATACTTACAATAATCTGCGTCGTCGATGTTGTGTTAATTGTTTTTACTCCATTGAATTCAGAAACAACGACATTCTTCAATGTTATTTTCTGCTTTGTTTGCAATGGATTTTCACAATATTGGTTCCATAATTTAACATGTGCCTGTGGTTCACTTGTGTCAGGGTCAGAATTTGTTGATAAACGTATTAATTTTCTTCTTGAGTTTTCCCCGGAGTATACTTCTCCAATCTGCAAAATATAATCAATTGCAATATTACAAACAGTTAAGTTTTGTAATGGTAGAAATATTATTGTCATAGAGAGTTAGTTTGGATATTTTGTTGCTTTTGGTTTTTGATACGTGAGATATATACATGTATCATAGTAGAAAATGGTATTGAAAACTTTGTAAACAAAGAGCATGTAATTTGTTTCTTTGGAAATTGCATGCTTAAATATGTGAAAATAACCATTCAAAGTATTGAAATATGCGCATACTTGTGTTTTGTTCAGAAAATATTGTTATTGACAACTGTTGAACTACATGTAGGATAGGTTGCAAGGCAATGAAATATATGCCTACAGCAGCTAAATCAGTTGTTGACAAGGGTTGATGCATATTTATTCTTTTGTTGTTATTTGAGGATATTTACAATTGTGAATGGACGTACAGGGGTGACAACAATATACGTTCACATTTTCATACTATGAGAAGGCATTATACTAATTTATACATGAAGTTTAGATCTGATACATGTGAATATTGAATGGAAACAAGATTTTTTAAAAAAATAAACCAATAATTTAAGTTTAAGTTTTGTCAAAGGGCAAAAATTGTGACTTGTAAAGTGTCTATGAACAAATTGTGGCAGACAGGAGTGACGACAACAAACATCCACATGAAAATGTGAGTGTATAAAAAAAGATGCAAATAAAACTTACATGTTGAATAAATCCACAAACACTAAACCTTCTCTTTGTTGGGGATGACACAGCATCTGGAATGGATACTACTGGTGCGGTGAAGAGTTGCAAGGCAGTGTTATTTATTGTACAAGGCTTTGTAGAAAAGATCTATGAAATAAACATATTGAATAGGTGATATAGGTTTATTTATATAGCCATTATTGTGATAAATTCAAGGTATATTCAAGGAATGATTTGAAATATATTATTCAATGTAGAGATTAGAGAACAAAAGTAAATTTAAAGTTTATTATTGTTTTACTGCTTTGGTCAAATTTGTAAGGGGGGAAGGTGTTTTCTCAAATTAGGACAGTTATTGTGTTCCAAAGTGTTGACTAATCAAATTGCTTATTGCTGTCATTACAGTGAGGAGAAAATGCTTATTATCAAACTTATGTCATGGTACTTTTGTTATTAAATTATACGCCAAATTTAATCACTCATTTAATATGAACCTAATTTAGCAAATGTGAATTTTTGTCTATATATTATGAGCATCTTATTTTGAAAGCAAAACCCATAAATTTAGAAGCCTTAGATTTAGGTTCCATGCGAAACGCTTGAGAAGTTGATTAATTGGCGTTTTGGTGCAATCAAGCAGAATTTTTTGGGGGCATAATTTTCATTTACAATTACTGTACGTGTAAATCCAATAATGAATTGGTGTAATTTTTTTATTAATAACAATTTGTCTGTAATTACAAATCAGTTGTTTTTGAAGAAATATTGTAAGTTTCAATTAAAGCTGTTCTTCTTGCTGTAAGATCACAACATCAATGTTGAATTAAATTGACAAACAATAAATGTTTCCAACATGTAAGACTTGACATGATACTGAGATAGAGAATCAGGTACCTTAAAAAAAACCAATGGTTTTGTTGAATTAAAATACGGAAATGGGCTGGCTATACATACTCTTTTTTGAAGAGTATATATATGTTTTTTTGAATATTAATGGATGCTATACCTCACTATGGCTTTTTAACCGATATCCATCTGGACTATTGTAAACATTTTTCAATATGTAAAATTTGTCTTGATCCATTTCGTCTATAAATTGTTCAGGGAATGAGATAAAGTAGACATCATTTGATGTCACAAAGTGAGATATACCATATCTTGATCCTTGGTTGTTTTTTCTGATTTCAGTCTGATAAACGGAGACCGTAACGTTACGACAAAGTCTAACACTGTAAGTACCAAATAGTCATACGAGATATGTGCATCTCATCAAATTCAGCTTATACCATACCCACAATAATGTTACGGAGTCAGTGAGTTCAACTTAGACAATACGCTGACCTTCCACTGACCATGCTTATAATATAAAATCTGTCAATGACAGCTGATTCATTGTTTAGTTTTTTATATGATATATTTAATATCAATAATATATGTATATGCATGCTTTATTTTACTTTACACGACCTCTAAAAATGCCCCAAATCGTAAAAATACGACTTTTTGGATTTCGATCTCCTTTTTTCGGCTACCCCGGACATTTTCAAAAAATGATACAATGATTTCACACAACAGGCCAGCTATTAGCCTCTCGATTGACAAGAGTTTCATCGCCCTTCATTCATTATAACCAATGTCATCGTGCCCTAAAGAATCAACAAATCAGCTTGCTTATCTCTGCTTACCCTAGACAAAAAATGCTCATCTTTGAACTCAATCATGACATTGACCTAGTGAACGCCTACACCAAGTTTGAACATTCTAGCTTAATTAGAAGGAGAGTTCTTGTGTTCCAAAGTCCCGGCCCTTCAAATTGCTTCTATTTTTCATTTTCAATTCAAAATGGTGACCATCACGTGACCGAAATCAAAATTCTGATCCGATAGATTTTTAGGCATTCCTTCCAGGATTCCGAAAATATGACGCCCGAGTCTGTAAGTAAAATAGCAAAAAAGCCTTTTTGATTTTTCACGTTTAAAGATGGTGGCACTTCCGGTTCGATCGACAAACTCCATATTTTGTGTACGAATCAGTAATTACTTGTCTAGTATCAAATTTTTTTTTAGGTCATTCTGACCTATATTTCGTCGATTTTTTTGAAAACTTTGATCCTTAATTTCACCAAGGGGAGATAATTTAGAAAATTTCCAAGGACATCATTGAAGTCGCATTGGCAAGATCTACTAACATTCTAAATTTCACGAAAATCACACAACTATTAAAGAAGTTGTCAAATTGGTAATAACTTCCGGTTCGAAATGACAGCGACGAATTTTCGAAATGCCAAAATCCGAAATTGCAGATTTGAAGTAAATGTTTCAAGATACTCAAAGAAAAAAGAATTAGTAAAATAGGTCAAATAGTCACAGAGTTACAGCATTGTAGGTCAAATGCATTCCTTCGTAAAATTCGGTGATTTCGGATTCGTAAAACGTTTTGAAAATATATTTAATCAACAGCCACCACCCATTTTTGGGGGGATAGGTAAAAGTTTCAGAACGATCCTATGGTTAGATTCTGAGAAATCCGATTTGTGGACAAAACACAAAAAAAAAACTAGATCTGCTAAGCAGATATTAAAGCTTTCATATTCACAGTCACTGTCACATGTCATAGAAATAATATGAACAGGAAAAAAAAATCATTATAATGAGTAAAAATTTGGTGAAGTTAATTCGATTTTTCACTGGTAAATAATTAAATAGACAAGTGGCATAACTTGACCCGCATCCCATCAGCTATCCTGAAAAATGCTGGAAAAATTAAACAAGTAAATTGTGTTTAGTACTGGGTTAATTAAGACAGGCATATGCCTTTGCTATACAGGATGACATGAGGGAAATTTAGCTTGGGAGGTGTAGGCCTGCAGCCAAAATTTCTAGCTAGCTTAGAAACACAACTCCGCTACACGGTCTTCCATAAAAGAAAAACTATACATTTTTGGAAAGCTTATGATGCCAGGAAGACAAAATCTGGGAGTTCCAAGCAAAATGTTTGCAATTTATTGATTTAGGGCCAGATGAAATTCGTCAAAATTGTCAAATAAATGCTATTTGTGTACTAACAATTCTGAAGTTGACATAAAATTAAATAGTTGGTAAAACACCTCATGCCTTCATCCTTGGCAATGAACAGTTTATTGGACAGATTTTGATGTAAATAAAAATGCTCAAAACACAAATGTCATGGGTGAATAAAGAATTGTGGAAATCCATTAACGGTAAAAAAGAATTATCTCCCTTTCTGTCAAATGCCTGTAATTGATAGACTATCAGGTCTTGTATGAATCATAAGACCAGGTGTGGGCAAACAAGCCCAATAATTATTTTGTTTGTTGGATCTCAAGGGCCTGTTAGGGTTGGTTGTTGGATGTTTGCTCAGAAATTATCGCTTGTATGGAACATGCTAGAGTCGATTTGTAGCATATTCTAGCCAGGGGATATGTTTGACAGTAGTTGAGTGATATGCTTTTGAAATAATGGAGATCAGTAGCACTTTATAAGCATTGAACCACATGATTTTTTTCCACTAAGATAAACATTCTAAACCCACATACATGTTCCCTTTCAATTAGCCACTACAGTATTTTTACAACTGTACATGTAGCTGTGAACTACTATTTCGGATATGATTAATGGTCAAATTACAAACATACATGTAGATATAAGTTAAAAAAAATAATTGTGTATCTGGGCTGGAATGAAGGGAAAGGTTAGAAAACAGGATGAACAGTTGTGAAATTATTTATTAAAGTGAAACAATCAATCATTGAAAATCAAAATTAAACAGTTACTCTGCACATCAAATGACATCAAAGTTAATCTTCATTATCATCATCACTGTCACTAAATGTATTAACATCAAATTCGGTCTCTTTAACAGTTTTTTTTTTCATTTTCACATTGACTACACATGCACAGGTCTGTACAAGAAAGGGGGGTTGGGATGGCCTAGAGTGCCGCGCTTCGACCTCTAGCTGGTCGGTCACCTCTGGCTTGTGGCTGTGGCTTTGATCCCAGGTGTGAGCGTATGTGGCATGGAGATAGAGGCGTCTTCTCAACCTCGTGGGTTTCCTCCGGGCACTCCGGTTTCCTCTCACTGCTAAAGACCCATACGCGCAAGCGAATTATTGAAATAAAATTGAAGCCGTATGTTAGTCCCAAAATGACCTAGTTTGTGTTGAGTGGACGTTAAACCCCATTTCTCTCTCTCTCTCTCTGTACAAGACAACTTTGCTGGCCATTTATGATTCTTTCTCTTATGACATCTTCACAGAATATATTGTATGTGGTTTAATATTCGACGGAGGGCTAGTCATCTTTGCTGAAAAATATAAATAAACATATACATGTACACAATTAAAACAAAATTCTGGAGCTTGGTTTACTCTCATTAATTTCGTACAACAGAGGAAAAAGACACTTACACAGGGGTTAACATCTTATTTTCATGCAGAAACCAGCTAATGAAGACAGGAAGGCATTAGCAGTACAAGGAGAGATAGAGAGGAGAATTGCGGTTTAACGTCCACTGGACAAAAACATAGTAATTTCAGGACTCACCCATGGTTCAGTTTTATTTGAATAATACCAGTGGCAAGAAGGCGGAGAATACAAATAAAAAAAACATCACAAATATTTACCTTTCTGATAACTGTCTAAGAAATTCAGTACATGTATATTGCCTATAACATTTTTGGTGATATCTGACCTCAATGGCCACACAATCTTGCCCTCTGATATGCCTTAAAATATCTTCATCCGCTTTCAATTCAGCAGCTTTCAACAGTTGGCCTACAAACAAATTTGCAAACAAATTATACACCATATAGCGTTGAATGTTGTTTGTGCTCAAGGGTGGGGGAGGGAATGTCACTTTGAGGCCTACATGTACATGTACCTGGCTGGTCAACTCTGGCATGCGGTTTAGTTCAGATCCTTTGTGTGAGCGGAAATGGTCTAGAGACAGATCGTCTTAGCAAGGCACCTACAAGTGGGCCAAGAAAATAAAAAACAAGTTAACTTCTCTATGTTTCATCCCTTGTGCAAGCAAATGTGCAACACTTTAACCAATGACTGTGCCAAATC